CCCAGCCAGCCATGAGTTGAAGTCCACTCATCTTAAAGTGGCCAAGTTTGGACAACACTGCAGTAGAATATCAAATGTTTGCATATTGGCCCTGCATGATGATAAGCATGGTTGCCACCCCCTCCTCAAAAGGAAATACCTTTTCCCTTTTTTTAATCACTAGATCCTCTTCTTCATTTCTTAACAAGTGCACCATCTCCTCAGCAGCATGAACACCTCCTCGAATGATGAATCTTAGCTTCTCAATTGGGGCTTTTGTATCAGCTGAAATGATTTAAATTATTATTAGTGGAACTTGAAAACAACTGTTAGAAAGAAATTGTATGATCAGTTTATTCCTTTGATCTGATTGGAATGTGGTCATCGTAGATTGTTTGGAGTAATGCAATCTAGACAGCTTTGTTAGGGTTATTGTTCTTCTTACCTTTAATAACAATATGTATAGCTTGTCCCAGTCTTCTCCTAGCCCATTTTAAAATATACATAGCTGCACATAGAGCCATTTGAAGTTTGATATTAGTAAAAATGTAGCACTAGCAAGTGGCAGCACCTAGATGATCTTGATTATTCTTAAAGTAGTCATAGAATTGGGGCTGCTTAATAGTTGAATAGGAAACCACCAGGGATCCTAAGGCTTTAGGCAAGATTGTCAAGTCAGAAAAGCATATTGAAGAAGGTAGTGGCTAACCACTTCCACGCTGTTGCCAAGAATAATGGGCATGTCATCATCAGAGTCAAGCTTGACTTGAGGGCACCTTTTGTTAGGATATTCCCATGGGAAGAAAAGCAACTCACTTATCTCCAAACAATTGTTTTGACTGCAAAAGCAGGCCATCTGCAGTTTGTTTTTCCTGGTTTGCATGTATACTGCTATTTATTGTCACCTATTGGCGTCTGTATGCTAGTTACCTAAGGGGAGGTGCATAGTGTCAATAAATTGTGGGTGATTGTATGCCTCACTGTCTTAGTAGGATTTTAGTCATCATGTAATCAGTTTTACAGGTTATGGAGTAGTAACTAATAACTAAGTGTATACTGCTATTTATTGTCACCTATTGGCGTCTGTATGCTAGTTACCTAAGGGGAGGTGCATAGTGTCAATAAATTGTGGGTGATTGTATGCCTCACTGTCTTAGTAGGATTTTAGTCATCATGTAATCAGTTTTACAGGTTATGGAGTAGTAACTAATAACTAAGTAGTGTACCTCTTCTCTGAGAGTTTTTTGGCTAGAGACTTTGTCAAACTTGTGTAGTGGATAAGTTTTGGATGCCACATGAGAAGAAGTGATTTTTTTCTATGTTTTGCATGAAACTTGTATCTTATGTAGTTTTTATTTTTCTCAATAAACAGCCAGATATTTTCTGTAACTTCTGGCTGGATTTCTTTGGAGAACAAGATAAGGACATTGCATTCTTTAAATCTCCCTAACGCTGGTGTGTATTTTTGGCATGAACTGTGGTTATAGCTGCACTCTGCATAACACCTTTATCTTTACTTAAAGATCCTGTTCAGAACTAATGTAGTTCTATAACATTATTAGCTTACCAGCACAACTGCTACTGCTCTCTCCCAACATTATTTTTATCTGTTTATGAAGAATAATATTGGATTATATAATAATATTAAATATAATTTATAATATTGCATTATTAAAAGCAATTTTGAAAGAGTTCTGAGACTAAGGGTCAGCAATAGTGAACTATAATCCAGAAAAGTGGATATTCTAAGTTAGTAAGTGCTAAAAGAATCATTGCTGAGTTAACCAGTAGGACTTCAGAATTGTTTTGAAATATACTATTGAACAAAATACCATTTACTTAACCTAATTACTATGAGCAGGTGTCATGTATTCTAGGTTGTACAATGAGATTTTGTACAATGGTTGTACAATGAGATTTTCACAGATTAGCATACAATACTTAACTACACATTTATATTGTTTTTTCCTGTAGCTTTACATTTTTGGTGTGAACTAGAAATGTAAACAAAGAATATAAATATGACTTACATTCCTTGAGGGATACTTTGAAAGAATGTTCTCCAATGAAGTTGTATATAGATTTTCTTAACATACATCCAGAGTACAGAGTGGCCCAGTCAAAGCAAGCCTTGCAACCGAAGGTGCATGTTTCAAAGCACTTTGCTTGGTGAACTGATTCCAAGTACTGTTCTAATTGGGCTTCACGATTTTCAGCTGATTTTTTTTCTGATGGAAGTGTGTCCTGGTTGGATAATGAATATATTCAGACTCAAAACTTCTTCTTTTTTTTCCAATTTATTTATTCATTTTCCTGAAGGTGGCCATGTTACTTTTTTGCAGCAAAAACAGCAGTAGTGACACCTTAAAGGCTAACTACCCATTTAATTATCATGTGACATGATGTTAAATTGGTTAATCTTTAAGGTGCCATTAGATTCTTTTGTGTTTCACTTCTTTTGGTAAGGATCAATATTTCAGCTGTACCACAATATTTCAACTTGACCAAATAATATTAAGGTCACCTTCTTGATGCTCATATAAAAGAAATGCACCTATTGTTTCAACAATATAAATGATATCTAATGTGCTGTTCTTGTAGCCAGCAATGGTCAGAAAAGATCCACTGCAATTAATACTAGTTAGTTATCATTAATATGTTTACATGATTAACTCTGAATCAAATTTTATAGGCATTAGTCATGATTTACCTTAACTGGATCAGAATGTATTCAATTTACTTGCCATTAAATATTAGACACTCAAATCCTAGCCATATGATAAAAAAAAGGTTGGTTGTTTTGAGAATTTCTCTAGATTAATATAATAGCTATATCTTTATGCCTGCCTTAGTTATTGCTAGTATTTTCGGAGGAGTGGGGCAGGAAACCACACAAATAAATTATTTCATGCCATTTCTATTGTATATATCAGCAGCAAACAAACCACATCAGGAAAATCCAATGTGGGTTACCTTTCTTTCATCCTTTTCTGCTGATGGGAAATCAAAGGGCCGTACTGTTTTTTTAGACAGACTCTCAGGGAGTAAAACAGGAGTTGACATAGCAGCAGGTGCCTCTTCAATATTACTTGTGATAGCAGATGTCTTCAATCTGCAGGATAAAGAGAGAAAAAGGGAATGTTGCTCTAGAAACACAAATATGTAAAAAAGAGTTGAGATATGGCTTGTAATATTGAGTCGATAACAAACACTCTTCCTTCCATTTTGCTTTGCCAACTATTAGCATGACCGGTCATGCACAATTAAGATGGTGTTGCTTGAAGTTGTTTTCAGACGTTGGGATAGAGATGGTGTTTCATACAAGCATACAAGGTGTTGCTGGCTGGGGAATTCTGGGAGTTGAAGTCCACACAGCTTAAAGCTGCCAAGGTTGAGAAACACTGCTCTGAGAGGTTCACTGTGGCATGGGGGTTTCATCAACTCCTGCTTTTGTAATTATAATTCAGAGAATGTACAGTTCAGTGGAAGAAAAATGGATGAGATGAGATTATTTTGCTTGGTTAAAAGGTGGACATTAAGTCATCACAGAATTTCCCACTATAATTCTCTGAAAATTTCCATTATTGTGAACTAGCCAATCTGCTTGCTCAGCCTACAGCATCCATAGAACAAGTTCTTTTCTGTAATTATAAATAGAAAAAGCAGGAAATGACACTATGTTAATTATTTAAATAGGCTTAAATAGTTAATTCTGGTGCTGTATATTAGGACTCTTAGAATTTTTAGCCAGCATTGGCCAATTCTTGAAATTGTAGCCTCAACGCATCTGGAGGGTACCAGGTTGGGTAATGCTATCTTAAAATATCAAAAATATAGGGCAAAAACCATAATATTTCCTTTCTCACCCTGCCCCAAATATTACTGATACTTCTGGTCCATAGAAACAATGCTAGGATAATTAATTAGTTTAATCCTTGGGGATGTAGATAATGGGGCCATATTTAACATACCAATGTTTAACATACAGCTTAAAATGATCCCATGGATGTCAATGTGCACAATGTTAAAGATTTGCAGGATCGATGTCAGCCCTACTATGTAGACTAAACTAAGAAATCAGCTCCATAAGAAGGTTCAAACTACTTTTATTAATATTGGCTATAGTAACAGAATCTTGCAAGTCTGTGCTTTCCTTCTCTCCCCCCCCCCCGCCCCTTACATGAATTAGGGAAGTGTCTGCCTGAGTCACTAGTGCATACCTTTATCTTGTTTTGGACTTAAGCCGTGTTTCTCCCCTCACTGCTTTGGTAATGAATGTGGCCTGTCATCTTCCTTACTCCCTACACGCATGGACATAGTCTTTCTCTCTCTACTTATGGTGTATCTTGAAAGCTATTGATGCCATTGCCTTGGGCTTGTTTTGGGAACAGAGGCTGATGTTACCTAACTGGCTGTGAACTGAGAGGCGATCCTTGTTCCCACGTTGAATGCGAAGCATTTCACATGCAGGGGAAAAAACCCAGAACACCTAATCCTCTCTACCTGAAAAGTGGATTTGCATTCCTTTTATCTCTTCCTTTTCTCTGTGCCATGCTACTGGATTCATAAGGTGTGCCTCCGTTGCAATAAATAAACAGATCACAAATAAGCTTTATTTCCTTTCCAAATTCTCTCTTTCTTATGAAGGATGTGACAAACACCCTCTGTGGTAAGCTTAGCTAGAACCTTCAGGATTTTTTTTTTAAAAAAACCTTAACTAAGATATACTTGAGGATACGTTGAGGGGATGAAAGAAATTACAGATCAACTTGCAGTATAAGATGTCTCATCCAGGCAAAATAGATTAAAAGGAAGTGGTTTTCGCATTATTCACATTCAATAATTTAAATCATCCTCAAATCGCAGGCTATATATCTCCAGGCAGAAATCATTGGCATTCCCACCTCTCTACTCCTGGTGCTTTTTCTCTTAGTAGTTTAATTTTTTTTAAGCCAATAGTCTAGCTTTACCACTTAACAATACTTAATGATCAATTCCTCCGCAATGGGCATGGGAAGCCAGCAAACTGGGTTGCATCACAGGAGACACTGGTTGTTGTCTACCAAATCACATAGCACAGTAAGAAGGAGATGCCTAAGAGCCAAGTCTTACTGTTTCTTTGTGCTTTAGCAAGAAGAAAAAAGTTACAAAGAAGGCCTAAAGGTAGAGTATGAAAGTGGATTTGTGATCTGTGATCCCCTACTCAAGGGAGAAATAAAAAGGGAACAATTGTACAGTTCCAGACTACAAGTAATGGTTTTTTGTTTTTTTTTTAATAGCAGCAACATTTTACATAGATACAATGCTGTGGCATGATTGCTTGCTTATTTTACATTTATTCAACTGACCTGGTGGACCTCCAAACATTTAGATACTATAATCAGTTCAAACTAGCATGGATGTTATGGCTGCCATGGATTACTTTTGCTTGATATGCAAATGACAGTCTGTACCTCAAAGAAGTGGCAACATGAATAAATGTAAAAGAATAGACACTGAATTTTGATGACACTTTATACACTCCATACTATTGACGATGACTTGAAAGCTACAATTGGCACATCGTGCAGTGGCTGTAGAAATCTGATATTCCAAAGTTACGGCCTTTTAGGGGCCCCTACCAGAAAGCTTCCAGGCCCAATTCCTAGTGTTGGTTACTAGCTTTAAATCTGTATAGTACTCATATATATAAAGGACTGCCTGATCCAAACTGAATTTGTCTGCAAGGACGCCTAGAGAGGGTTTGCTCAAAGTTGTACCCTGGCATGAAGTTAGAAGAGCAGTAGTAACCATCTCCTTATGCTCCCAGAAATTTATCTGACTCCCTCTTTTGTAGCATTCAAGAAGATGTTGAAAACTTGTCTTATGAGAAAGGATTGTGGTGCTTAAGTTGTATTTGGGGTCTACCATGTATTATTGTAGCTGTGTTTTAATTGGTATCCCAGCTAGATAGTATGTAAATTGTTGTTGAAAAAAAGTATAATATGCTACCTGCTGAAATTACATTCCTTACAATACCTGAAATTACACTTCAAATGCCTATGAGATGATTGGATGTAAGAATCTTTCATATATTTCATGAATATGAATATATGAATATATTCAGTTTCTAATGGCTAGGATCCAGACTGAGACACGGATCTCCCAATGATATCAAAGACACAATTTAATCATAAATAACCAAAAGAATAACTAACATGGTTTGGTTTCCACTCAGTGACTATGAGTGAATAAGAAATATATTTCTGACATTAAAGAAAAAGTTTAAACTCCATGATCAGATCTTCCATATCTTATCATATGATATCAACATATGATATCATCTTATGATACCATTTTGTCTCATTTGCCTCCTGCATATCTGCAGAAATGAAGGAAAGATTTGTGTTTTTCAGGAGTAGCATTTCCTGGAGATCCATTCAGGAATGAGATGATGGGTTGGATTGAAAACAACTCTAATTTTCAGTTCCTTTTTATGCTATAACATATGAAAAGCTTCTCTGGAGAATTAGGAGACATTCTAGAGCATCATGAGTGCTATGACATGAGGGAAAGGAAGGAGAATTTAGTAGAGCTTGCCTCCCACTTCTTTTCTCTAATAGGAATCTCTGGCTTTCAGGAAAAGCATGAATCTTTCCATTTATGGAATGGGATTTTTGGATCCAACAAACTCTGTTTAAAATCAAATACAATGTGTCCCCTAAATCTATGTGCTGCTGCTTTTCTTTGAAAAAATAATAACTGAAGAGGGCAAGATCTGTGTTCAAAATGGTTAAATGAAGGTTCAAAATAAAATTTAGAAGCTAAATCAAATATTGTGCAATAAGGAAACTCTAAGAACACAAGGAACCATAACAGGGATATTTGTTTTTCCAAATCAGCAAGTAACATGCAAGAGTTTCCACTAAAGAAGGAAATTTCATTCCTCATATATTTATTTCTGCGCTTGCAAAGGATGAAAAAAAAATCATATATACACTGATTTCAACACCTTCTTGATGGTCTTTTTCTTTATAAACAAACATTCTTAATGCTAGTATATATAAGAGATCCTGGAAAGCATAATTAATCACATTTGTGATCAGTAACATAAACAAGACTCAGATGTGACTGATGCCATTTTTAATGGCCTTGCTAACAAGATTTTAAAAACTAAAATGAAAGCACTGTTTAAGGTATATTTTTCAATTGCCTATATCTTGAATTTATTCTGGATAAATTCTATAAATCTACTTTACTGAAATGGATTTAGTTTTTCAGTCCAGATACATGTCTACATCTGTATATTAAAACTAGAAAAACAACAAAAATTGTTACTGATAAAAGATATTTAACAGAGCCTACCTTAGAGTAATTATGTCTGTTTTCTGTTTGCATGACGGAAATTCAAGTTTGAAGTTATTTTCTTTTATATTCACAGCAACATCCACATTTATGGGGACAGTTGCTGTCAATATGGCCTTTTTTTCCAGAAAGGCATGAATTTCAGATGTAACAATTCCTACTGTTAAGACCATGTCCTTCTTCATACTGAAAAGGTAAAGCAAAAAACAGATATTTCAACACTCTTTGATGAAGAATAAATGGTACCAGGCACTTTTGCATCACTTTCTTTTTATATGATGACTTTATGTAACCGTGACCGTACTTACTGAAGTGTCAGTCCAGTTCTCAGTTTGATATTGCTGTTAATTATGTCAGGCCATGTGATTTGTGATGTTGGTTCTGGACTCATCAGTAACTGAACTGTTTGTATGGAAGGAAATAAATCAATGCATGCTGAAAACTATTCCATAAAATATAAGTTATATAATGCTTCTATATTATGTATTAATATTTGTTTTTCACTTAAAAAGGATTAGGAGGCAGTAGAAAGTGATGAATTTCTTTTATATCCCTGCCCATAACCTAGTAAGACCAACTGGATGAATCAGGTGATTGAGATCTGAATAAACATTATTGAGTCTAGTAAAAAGAGACTTCACCATTTTTTTAAATGTAGTTTTTCTGCCAAAAATCCCAGAAAAGTTGAAATTGGACCAAAGCTAGTAATACTAATAACACTGCCCCCACCCCCTTGATTCTCCCCTTAAACCCACTGAATATTTACTGGCAAAGTGTTTGGCATGATTACTATTTGAATCACTTATTTTAAAATAACTGTTCTGATATTTACAGGATTTGGAACCAAATCCTTCCTAAATATGTTGCTAATGTAAGATCATGTTGTTAGGATACTTCAAACATAAGGCTTTAACATTTTTTTTCTTGCAATCCTTTATAGAATATATAATACTGAGAAAACTGAAACAAGGAATGCTAGGTAGCCACCATGCTTAGGATTTATAGTCCTTTAGTCATAGATGGCCCCCCAGGACCCTACTTACATACTCTAAGATCATAGCTCCAACATTTAGCAGCAAAAAAACTTTGCTGATTTGGTTTTCCAGGTCTTTCTTCATTTTTTTGAAAGTTAAGAGTTGAAAGGGAAGTAGGAGACCACTGTGAAGTAAACCACTTCCATTCCTACTCCTTTAACCTTTCTGAAACCCAAACAAATCACTCACAATTCATATCGCAGTGCAATTTTAGGCCAGTTTTTGCTTTTTGCAGGGCCTTATGGGTAAGCCTAGAAGCAGTTTGCTTCATCCTTAAACCACTCTGAAAAGGGTGAAAAATACCTCCCTTTAGGTTAATCACTTCTTTACTTGGCCTCCAGCAAGCTTCTAGAAGGTTGGAAGGAGTTGTGCCCATCAGCCTCTCAAACTTTGCTCCTTTCTTGGGATAGATTAGATAGCTAGATAGCTAGATAGATAGCTAGATAGCTAGATAGCTAGATGCCAAATTATGCCACAATGTTTGGTGCCAAAGTACCTGAATCTATGAAAACATACTCATGGTTACTATGAGCCAGTCACTTGTTCTCAGTCAAACCTATTTTGCAAATTTATTGTTGTGGGATAAAATTAAGCTCTTGAAGGAAAGTGATGTCAGAATTGTCAGAAATGGCAAAACTGATCTGTTTGGTCAGGGATAAAAAAAGTACCTTTTTAAAAGCCTGGAAAACTTTTATGGACTTTTTGCTGAAAATAGAGAAAAGTGAAGTGATGATTTATGGATTTGATGATTGAAAAAGGACTAAAGGGATTTTAGTAATATTAAGGAGGGAGGTTGGATACTAGGTTTGTTAATTTCTGTTGCAAAGAAGGTTAGAAGTCACTTATTTTTCTGACTTTTGTTCTCTTAGTTATTCTTCTTTCTATCATCCCTTTTTCTTTTGTTTTCTGCACTTTCTTTTTCTTCTCTTTATTCCTTATACTTTTTTCTATTTTTTCTTTTAGATCTGTCTTTTATTGCTCAAAAAAACTTTAATAAAAAGTGTGTGTGTGTGTGTGTGTGTGTGTGTGTGTGTGTAAAGTGGGATATATGTAATAATGAATAAAACATATTGCCTTACCATTTCCAGTAACTTTTGTGTGAGCAACATGGACCAAACCTATTTGTAGTTGTAACCCAGTACAGGTTGGTACAGCACGCTGGATTTCTGCAGACATGAAATATTTCTCCCAGTGAATATTTTGAAGATTTTTAAGGAGATCTGTAAAATCTTTTACCCAAGGAAGAGGTATGTTTCCATGATATGCCTGCAAAAATAGATTTGATTTATTTAAAAATATCTGAGCATCAGACACAAACTTTATGATTGTTTCCCAAAAGATATAAGCTTGCCAATAGAATCATAAATATAGTCAATAATATTTAGAATGTATTGTTATAAATCAAACATTTAAAATATGAATGTTCAAGAGCTTAAAGAGTAGATAAAATTATATAGTTTGACAGTGAATTTGGAAATAGTATGTAAAAAGGAACCTGTAATAGTAGTGGAATTATATCCATCTTCACATTCCCAGTTAAGAATTCATGGTCAAATATTTTACCATATACTTCTAGAACGATCAACTCATCTGCTGTGATGTTATGGTCAGAAGACTGTGTGATAAGAAGTAGAAATTAGAATGTTTATTATTTATTTGAATATGCGTTCTGACTCTGCATTTATGTATACCAGGCATCATACAGTAAGTGTGTAGAAATGAAATAATGTACAAAAATAAGCATCACAATGAACACAGATATTAGAAAACAATAGACCACCCCCCAGCACACACACACACTAAGAACTGAGAAGGAGTCTGCAGAGGGCTAACGCTTATAGGATTTTTTTTTTTTAATTAGGTGAAGGAAGGAACTGGCTGATTTTGGAAGCTCTATCTAGTCTTGAAAGTTCCATAAGTGGAAAAGGAAGAACCTCCCCTACACATTTTAGGTAGGCTAATATGGGAGGTAGTATCCTGAGAAAAAAGTCATTGTGAAATGTTCATAGCATGATTAACTGCTGCCCATTTACCTCTATTTGAAGCTGTTGTGAATCAGGATTCCAATCACCACTTTTCATAGCTCCTTGCAGTTTTTCTATGATTTCATTTATTTCTGATCCAATTCCCACCTATATTGGAAAGAAAAATACAATCGTGACAAAGAGTCCTATACCGTAATAAATCTGATTTATTTATATCATATTATTTATATAGCACTATATTGTTTTCAAATATCCAAATCAACCAGTACTAAATAAATTGATAAATTGCCTGTAGTATATTTAAAGGCTCTACAATGTATCTGTGTTTAGAAAATCCCGCAGAAGGAGTCATTTCTAATTAAGAATGGGTTAACAGAGAAGATAATAAATAAAAGCTGTCATATATAGCTTCTGAAGAACGACCCATCTAAAATCTCTCTATCTGCCAACTTCTTTAAAACACAGAATGCTCCATAGATGAAACCAGAGCAAAAGGGATTTTAAGAAATTAAATCCATGAAAGGCTCATTGATAATGTAAAAGCCACATTGATGCTGACTTCAACTGAGTACTAGCATCAGCATCAGTTGAAAAACAAACAATCTGTTGGCTATAGCTAAATAAAAAACCAGTATTTTCAGTGTAAACAGTTAAAGACTAGGAAATGGACATTAAGAAGTATGGAGTGCAATTGTATGCTTGTTGTCAGCCTTCCCAATTCATTAGATAGATGAGTGGGTAGAAAACCAAAAAAGACAGGAACTTTAATTTGTAATTCAGTTCAACAGATAGTTATTGAACACAGGCAAAAAACAACAATGGTTCAATATTTAAATACCTCCAGAGGAGAAATTATGCTGCCCATGAAGTTTGCCTTGAATTTGGTCATTATAAATGTTGGGTACGTGCTCTCTTTTGAATGAAGAAAGATTGATTTTACTCCCAGACCAGCCTTATAATATTCTGAAAAGATAGATAATCCAGTAAGGGCAATTATTTCAAATGGGAGGACAAATACTTACTTTAGTTTCTGATTGCTTAGTGTAAGAACATCTTATGGAACAGCCAGAAAGTATAAAGCATGTATAAAACAGTCTATATAGCAATACTGAACAAGTGGGACTTAATATTCCACTCTATTCTGCCCTGGTTAGCCACCATTTGAAGTACTGTGTCCACTTCCAGGCACCATAGTTCAAAAAGGACAGTGACAAATCAGAGCAAATTCAGTGGAGAGCTAACAAGATGGTGGAAGGTTTGGAAACCAAGCACCATGTGGAATAGTTAGAGGATCTGGGTTTGTTTAGAAAAGGCAACTGAGGAGAAATGTGATAACACTTTTTAAATATTTGAAGGGTTGTCACACAGAAGAGAAAGTGAACTTATTTTCTATTTCTCCAGAAGGCAGGATTAAAACCACAAGGTTAGATGTCAGGAAGAACTCCCTAACATTCTGAACTGTCAGTGAAACAGGTGGCTATATAAAGTGGTGAATTCTCTTTTACTAGAGGTCTTCAAACAGAGGCTGGATGGCCATGGCTGGCTGGGGAATTCTGGGAGTTGGAGCCACACATCTTCAAGCTGCCAAGCTTGAGAAACACTGCTCTAGTTGATCCTGCACTGAGCAGGGTATTTGATTAGATGACCTCTAAAGTCTCTTCCAACTCTATATGATTTGGGCTTGGCATTGTTGCTAGATTTCCACTAGGGAAGGAGAGCATATTCAAATCTCATGGTTATTCTGACTGAAGGATGAGAAGCAAGTCATAAGAGCATGATAATAGAACATATTCACATGTGTATGTATACTAATGGACAAAATCCATCCATTATTCTTATCCTATCTTATGTCTATATTCTATTGACCCTATTTATGTCACCTACTAGGCATAATTTTTATGAAACTTAATAGAAGGGATAAGAAAACCATGAGAGATTTATCATTTTTGCTAATGCTTTTAAAGCCATAATACAGATGTTCTGGTATTTAAGATAAATGGCAAAGATATAGATTGCTGAGCCAAATCATTCTTAAGAATTTATGTTTCCAATAATAAATGCTGTATAGTCAAATACATTGGCATTAATAGTTCAATAACCATTATCAAGTAAAAGCCCATAATTACAAAATGTGTGTGCGTGCGTCTCGTAAAGAATCCAGTCTTCCTAATTAGCGGGCCTTAGTTTTTCTGTTTACTTTTACAGACTTGGATCCAAATAACCTGTAGGAGAGTTCCAGTTTTTCTAGAAGAAAGATAGAGGGGTAATCATCATATCCTACCTAACTCCCTGCTGTATCTGAAAAAAAACTTTTGGACGGTTAGAAGCAGCTAGCGTTGTCTGAAAAAATGCATTAGGAGCCTCAAGTAGAAAGAGGGAATAGATTAAGGTTTCTCCTCTTTCCCCTTCAGCAGCTCTGCTGGATTCTTTCCCAGTATCTTTTGTAAAATAAAAGAATCCTTCCATCTGTAGAACAGTTGATCTGGATCCAAACCACACTTGGTTAAAAGAATGATAATAACATTGAAGATGGGTGATAAAGTTACATCTAATAAGTGCAATTATTTCATGAAAATGAGCATTCTTTAGAGGGTGCAAAAGTTCAGCTGGCAAATAAGTGCTTCTGGCATTCCTGAAGATACAGCTGGGAGACAGCAGGTCTGAATATTGCATATGACTTTGGTCATAGCTTTATGTGCACTACTTACTTTTATATCATGAAATTAATTAAATGGTCATGTAACGTCACTCCAGAAAATCTGTCATGTTGCTTGAAATGGCACTAATTGAGCTACTTGAATTATACTAAATAATTCCACATCTACTAAAAAAAATAAATCAATAAAAAATGGGAAAGGCATTGTTAAGCTACATACACAAAGTTTTCAGGTATATTTTGAATTTCCTCTTTCCCTGGATGTAGGGTAAATTTCTAGCAATTTAAAGATGTTGCCACTCAAGTCACAAATATAAAATGCAGTGCTGTGAACATTTTTTATAAGCAGCCTGGTATGCACACCCTTTTCCATACCGGGGTCTTGTCCATACTGTGGACTGCATTTGTCTGAGATGGGCACCACTCCTGGTGTCCCAATGCTATTGTAGCCTTGAGTGTAACTCGAGAAGCTAAACAGATAACTAGTGGTCAGTTTTGGTTCCAGACAAAGACTATTCACATTGTATGTTCCCTCTGCTGCTGTCACAAGGATTCATTCCTCAGCTCAGCTCATTCCAAACTCAAGGAATTTTTACCCTTCCTTGGGTACCCTGACCTCCACCAACCACTCAGAGATTTGCAAAGCTCCTGTTTGCTGCTGTGCCAAATATTATTATTTTTTTCTGGCCACAAAAAGCAGATGCCCAAAAAGAGAGATTGGGTATTTATGGTCCACCCTTCCATCTGTAGCTGGAATGAGTGCTGGCTAGTGACACTGGAGGAAAAAGCAATGGGCATAGTTATGCAGTGAGACAAGCCTACAGAAGATGATGTGAGAGACCTGGCTGGTAGTTATGTGGAAGGGCTTGGTCAGTTAATTAATGCAGGTAGTCCCTAGTTTAAGAATGGGTTCTGTTCCCAAAGTCTGTCCATAAGTCAAATTTGTATGTAAGCCGGAACCATATTATTGTATAATACTGTATAAGTAGTATTGTGTAATGAACTTGAATCATTGTGTATTTAATTCAAATTTTGCTACAATAGGCTCCGTTCTTTACTATGGGTCATTCACAAACCGGGGATTACCTGTCATTTTATATCCAAGAAAGAATCCTGACTAGAACTCCTTGGTATTACACTATGGATGGGAAAAGGAACAATTTTAGCAAATGCTGGCAGGACTGCTGCAGTCCAGTATGAAAATTATGCACTGTACAAGGATGCTCCATGGGGAGAGGGAGGGGTGACAGCTGTAAGTAAAAAAATAGAGGAGATGCAGTTACAACATAGGCTTGCAGATTTTGCATGTACAAACTGATATTTAATAATGTTGTAATATTAAAATATGCTTTGGGGAACATTAAGTAGAATTCTGCATCTGGGCCCCTTGTATGCCAGCAGTGATCCTGAATGTTTTGTTTTTTTTTTACAAAGTATAGGTTTTAGCCAGAGCTATGTATTTTTTTTCCATTAGTGCTTAAACCTTTGAAATTATAATGGTTATAATTGATTGGCAGAAATCAAGCAACAGCCATATTGGCTTCCTCTATAGTTCTACTCTATTCTGATGTAAGTCCTATTGGGTTCAATGGGTTTTAGTTCTAGTTTAGTTTAGTTTCTACATAGAAAAGGAGCCTAAATGCAGAATTTAGTCCAGGATTTGAAACACTTCAGAGTCAGTTAATAACCAGCAGTATGACATAACTGTGGAGGAATCTATACTTATTCTTTTATTACAAGAATAATATAGCATCAAAATGTTATATTAAATTGGGTTAACAATGTGATATAACATTACAAGCAAAGAAAAGAAAAGTCTGGGCAATTTTCTCATAAACAAACAACTTCTCCCAATGAAATTTTCCAAAACTCTTCTTCCTCAGCCCTTGATGAAAAGAAAAACAAACCAAAAAGCTAGAAGTGTTGACAAACAGCTCATATCAACAATCTTTTGCTGAAAATCAGGTATAGTACATTCATATTATGTTGGATTTCAACTCTCAGCCATATTCTCAGGAAATTAAGGAACTGAGGGTAGCAAATTGGGTGCAGTAGTTAAAGGTACCAGGCTAGAAACTGAGAGACCATGAGTTCTAGTCCTGCCTGAGGCACAAAGCCAGCTGGAGGACCTTGGGCCAGTCACTTTCTCTCAACCCTAGGAAGCAGCCAAGGGGAGGGGAGAAACACCCTTGCCAAAAAAATTGCAGGGACTAGTCCTGGCAGTCACCAGGAGTCAAGACTGACTTCCAGGCAGCAAAACAAAAACCCTACGGACAGGTGTTTTAAGCCACTGCTTGGTTATAGGTAGTACATAGTAGTAGAAGAACATATGTAGCTTACCATCAAAGTGCTCAATAAAGTAAAATCTGCTGTATTGATAACCAGCCCACCGTTGAATTTTTACAGACAGTACTTTGAGAGCCATCCTGCAAGAAGAAGCCCTGAAAAAAAAAAGGATGCATTCAACAAAGTTCACATTAAGTACTGCTGTTTGTTACTTGTTAGTTGTTAAAAAACCATTTTTATTAGACTTACACCACTTGGAATTCAGGAGCTGTGCTTCTGGCCATGGCACTCAGGTACATGTAGACAAAGTTTTTAACCTGTTTGCTAGGTTCATGTAACATTGCATTGGCTAAGGTCATCAGGACAGGCAAAGTAGGCTTCAATTCCATAAGGACAAAGGTTGCACATGTTCGGACTATAGGAGCACTATTGTGATTCATGATTATTTGAAGTAAAAACTCTTGTACCTGTGCAAAATAGATAGTCAATATTAGAGCTGTGCAAGTGATACCTTCATGGTCAGATTCTTGGCCTTGAAAGAGGCAGATTCATCTTGTGTTGATCTGGGGTTGGGAGCCCATTCTTGCTTATTCCTGATTAAGAGCATGAACTGGAAAAGCCAGACTTTGACTTCTCCTTATCTAGAATGGGGAAAAAGGCGCAGTGTTGCTGTGCTGAAAGAAGGACAGCTAAGGGTACTGATATCTTTCTTTTCATTTTCATCAGATTGAAACAAAATGTCCAGGAAGGTGGTGCACTTCGGGGGAGGGGGGATGGGGGTGTGTCAAATTTCATAGAAATCAGTGCAAAGGTTTGTGTTACAACCTATGCTTTCTTTGTTTCTATTCTTCACCAGAAAGAGATTAAATTTACAGGGCTGTTAAGGGGAGGTATGTATGTATGAAGGGATGAAATAAGCCCCTAGAAAACATTGCAAGGTTTCCATTTTACACAAGTTTTAACCATAGCAAAGATCATTTTTACAGCATTAATGAAGCTTTTTTATTTGATTCAATCTGCACTGCCGTCCCATCCTTGATCTCTCCAGCATCAGTACCTAATAAACTAAGACACATACATCAATCATTCAGACCAAAATTTGATATGTGGAGCGGGTGAGATTCTGCTTAAAAGGTCAAAAGACAGGATGAAGACAGGCTCACACAATTATTTCATTTACAATTTGAGACAGTCAAAAAGAAAAAAAAAGCTAATTAATGAATGATTTGTGAAGGGGATTAGCAAGCAAGAGAGAATTCAGTACCAACTAATGCAATTAAGCAAAAATTGACTTAAACCAACATAAAATAGTGGTGTTTAATATATTTTAAGGGGAAGAGAGGAAGGGAAAGGATGGGAAGTGAAAACAATGGGAAGCTGGGGAAGAAAACTGATTGGAGAAGGGTCTCTCCAATTGGACAAAGGGACTGTTAGCCCTGAATTCAATATGCCCTCTTCTTCTTCTCCACCAAAGCGTTATATAAGCAAGTGCTTTTTGGTGCCTGGTACCACTTTTCCCATCTTTTTGGGTGCTTGGTGTGACTCTTCCCACCAGACTGAGCTGTTAAACTACATTTAGGATTTTGAATTAGAGATAAGGTGAGTTAGAGAATCTTTTCCTCTTGCAAATGAGTAAATACATGCTGAATAGCCTCATTCCATGTCTGGCTTAAAGTAGGTATGTAGCTGGAGCACAGTCCTACTATATCTTGAAAGTCACACATATATTCATCAGAAAGTAACAAAAATAGTCATATTTTTCCCTTTCTAATGGAATTTCATTCTAATTCCTGCGATATATAAATGTAACTCAGCATTTTCAGGATTGTGCAATAGACTGTTGAAAACACTGGAAGGAAACACGGAGGTTTGTGCAACAATCTGTTTCTATTCAAAAATCATACCCAACAAATATTTAGGTGCTACCTCCTTTCATTTGACTGAGAAGAGAGCCTTCTGGAAAATCCTGCCACTTAGGGAAAATGGCAGAATAAATCAAAGTAATTCTGTTGCTTCCTCCCACTTTTTTTTTTTTTTTTTTTGCTATGAAAGCAGGAAAAACAGCTTTGAACTTGTACAAGGAAGCCCCCAAGGGGAATCCATCAGTGATTTTGTCATTATTTTTTCCATTCATTTCTTCAGGAAATTTCCCTGGCAATGTGAAAAGTAGATTCTTACATGCTTTGTTTCTCTCCACTGTAAAGTATTTTGGTCTAATACAATTCTGCCACATAATTATGGTCAACTCATGTTAGACCACTTGTTCCATTATACTGATAATGTAATAAACAAAAACAATCCAATTAACCTACCCCCCCCCCCCAAATCTTCTTACCCGTATAGGATCTTTTTTCCCAGGATTTCTTAGAGCCATGATTGCATTCTGTTGAATTCTAACATCAGAGGGAATAGCAGTTTGCAGATACTTCATAATGGGTTTCAAGACAATTTGGTGTCCCACATTTCCAAATGCTTTCAGAGCCAAGACACTTGCGTCTATATCAGATGACCTTATGGCTTTAGTTGCAAAATCAGTCAGAGGCTGTGAAAAAAAATAGTGTTATATTAAACCTGGTACAGTGTTATGAACAGTCAGTAGTTCCAGTCCAAGAATGCTAGTGCACAAGGTACTCTTATGAGTATCCCCACAATTGGGAAAGTCATAGCTATGTCTTTGGTATGACATTTGGATGGAGTGATATATACAGTAATGGGCATCAGAAGCAAGTGCAGATGTTCCACTCCAGATTGAGATGAGTTCTTCTGGCTAACTGCAGATTCATATTTCTAGATTGTCAAGCTGGTCAATATGATGTAACCGTAAGCAATACAGTATGGTTCTTAAAATGAAGGATTTGGTTATATCAAATGTAACTCCATGTGGTCATTTTTACAATCTAGAGAAAACTGATATTGTAGCACTAGATACTAGTTGCCCATTGCTGCCTCTTCTCATCATAATTCTAGACAAGGTTTCATATCTGTTTACAAATAAGCTTGTATATATCCGTGTGTTTCAAATGTCAGTGTACAGTATCAACAACATAATCTTCCATATTAATTAAAAAATATATGAAAGGGAATGATAATTATTCCAGTTGTTGACAATAATGTTGATTTCCTATATATACTGTAATTATAAAATGTCTTCTTTAGAGGCAATATTGAGGAACATACAATTGGCACATTTACTATTGCTTTTAATCAAGCCATGGAATCTTACATTTAATCTTTTAAAAAAATAACTTACAATAATAATGCTTTATAAAATAAATGATCAAGTAATATAAAACTATCATGAGAACTTCTCAAATATGCCATATAAATGTTAAACATTATTTGCTGTTCTCACATTTTTTTTCCCAATTCCAGTTGGAGATAACAATGCTGATGTCAGTGAAGCAAAAATCTCATTTTAATGTTTTGTAGTAACACCTGAAAATTACTCAACAGAGATATTTTCATTTGAAAGTTCCTTCATCTGAGCTGAGTTAGCACCTTGGAGCTTAAGGATCTTTAGGTGAAGAAACAGAATTGAAATTGGGCAATGTACCTTGAGATATTTGTTGGGGGTTGTGTCTGAGACAGCATAGAATCTGGAAAGTAATGTCCCATAGCAGAGACAGATGGAAGTACGATAGACACTCTGTGGACCTTTAAGAACTTCTGTCACAATGGCCTGTGGGAAGAATATTTGACTGTTACTATAACTGAGTATCAAAGGGAGATGCAATATGAAGCAAATGGTTGCTCATATTTAGCATGTGGATCCATAACATTGGTGCAAGTACATACTAGATCACAGTCAGAAATTAAAAATCCAAATATAAAGGGATTATGCTGCTTAGCATCTGTAAAATGGTCTATAGTGTTGATATTTTACCATATAAGATTTCTTACAGTGTATTATCCCAATATTTCTTATGATAACTGATCAGTATCACTTTTTCCACATCACAGATGAATGGCTTGCCTAAAGCCCTGATCTATGAGTTTATGACAAGGCTACATTAAAAAAAAAAAAAAAGTCCAGCTCAGTTTCTGACCTAACACAGATATTGGTTCTCAATCAGCAAAGTGTTTCCAAGATCTGACAAAGAGACTTGGTTGCAGTAAAAACAATTTCAGGACAATTTTCTACTATATCTCCAGCATTTTGAAGATTTCAGGTAAGAACATTAAGAACATTTCATTAGATGGTGTCAGTGCCGCAGGCAAGGGTGTCAATAATTACAGACTTATACATAGGGAATCACCATAGTTTATTTGATGAGAATATTATCATGGTAGAAGGATAGAATATGAGTTTCTTTAATGTGGCAGCTTTCAGATATGTTGGAATTGGAACTCCTATAATTTCCAATCAGCATGGCCAACAGTATGTGCTAATGCCAAATTAAGAGTAAATCAGAAAATTTAGTTACCCATCCATTTAAGAAATTCCAATTTTGCATTCGTACAGAATTTATTTATTTATTTATTTAGGCGTGTGCATACCAAAAGATATAACTAAGTTAGTAACATCTAATATAAACAAAATACGTAAAGAGGTTTCTTTAGATATGGATAGATGGGAGTCATTGAACCTCAGCCTTTGGGGAAAGGTGAATGCTCTCAAAATGAAC